AAGGGCAAAAAATTCTGATTGGCTAGGAATGTTAGTTTGGTTGAGAGTGAAATCTGTGCTCCTCTCATACCATTGGTAGGCGAACTCATGGACTCGAAAGTGATATCAACAAGTTTTTTTTAAATGTAGGATTATTTTTTTCCGCAGCCAAACGCTGCACGCTGGAGATCCGGCACGGTGCCGGAGAACTTTAAGCCCTGCAAATAGTCTTCTACAACCAACTATACACAAGTTGCCAACTACAACTCCAAAATACTACTATTAAATTCAACACACAGTTCAACACAAAATCCAAAAAGTGGTATTCAAATGGCCATCTTACACTGAACATTAAAATACGCTGCAACCTCTAATGAGCTAATTACTGCTTCATAAATATCTTTAGGTTGCATAATATGGAGATGCACTTTGTGCTGTGGGTGTGACACCTTTAAAAATGCTCAAACACAAAGAATCACACACACACATACAGGCCACAAGCAAACACTCCTGCTGGCACTGAGACTGACATATCTCTCTCAAGCTGTGCGTGTGTATTAGAGGTCGTAGCAGAGAAACAGTTGTCACTGTGGGGGCAACACATCAGCACACGCCGCCTGCTGCAGTTAACAGCAAACAAACACCGCCACTCTGAAATGGCCTCATTAGCGCTAGCAGCGCTGCCGGGTCTCAACTCCTCTCTGAGGTTATATAAAGTAGAGGTATGTTTGTGTGAAAGAGTGTGTTAATGCGTAGACTTTTTTCGCAAGTGTGTGTGTGTTTAACCTGCCGTTAGTCGCACCTGTTCTCCATGTCGGCGCTGCACTTGGGTGACAGAAGCTCAAAGGACTTGGTGAACTTCACCACCTGCAGGAGACATTAAAGCGAGCAGGATTAGAGGGATGTGGCAGGCAGGGGACGGGGAGGAAGAGGATCAGAGCGCACCGGAGATTCGATGTCCTCCAGCAGCTGGACGGAGCAGCGTTCACACTTCAGCAGCGTCTGAGCTCGATGCATGATCTTCCTCACGATCTTCTCCAAATCGGTCTGCTCCTCGAACAAATCGTTCACAACCTCCAGAAGAGCCTACACACATGGACACAAACAGAGAAACACACTTAATCAAAGTATATGAATGCAACGCAAATACAAGTACAATTAATGCGTCAATGCATTCACAAATACGCATGGCATTCGGTGTGTTTCTGCAAGGGCCCTAAAGCAGGAATTAGAGTAGTTTCTTTTTCTATGGCCAGTATCAGGTCGACTGCATGTTCAAAGGGACAATTCATAAAATCTGTCATCATATTCTCACCCTAATTTCATTTCAAACCCATTTTATTTTCTTTCTTAAATATACATGTTTTTCCCCCATGCCGTTGTAATTAATGGAGACAGAAGCTTTCAAACTTCATAAAGGACTTAAAAGCACTTAAAGGCTTGCAGCAAAATTTAGTTTAAAAGGGATTTGGGGGTATTTTTCTATTGATTGTGGCAGCAGTGATTAATTAAATGATGAGCAAATTATGGAAAAGAGCAGTATAAATGGGCAAACCCTTAAAAATACAGTGTGCTTAATTGCACTGAATGTGCACTTGTAGTGTACTTAAAATCTTAAAGTATATTAAAAAATCAACTTAAACATAATTAAAAGGTTTTTAACTTTTAAAAAGTGCACTTTGCAATAATGTCAAAAGTTTTTTTTTAAATCGTTATCTTTTAATAATCTTTTGTCATGCTTTAAAGTACACTTGTTTTGATGTGTTGACTAACATACTAAAGCACATTTTAACTGTAGTGTCTTGATATCACATTTCAATGTTAAAATTGTATTAGCGTATTATGTTGTATTATATATAACACCGAAACGGCTTGCTGTGAACGGAGCTGTTTTTGACGAGGTAAAACACTTGTTGTTTTACACGACCATTGAGGAATTTTTACCAAAGTATGTTGGAGACATTTCATTAATAAATGTATTAATTCAAAGATTAATAAATACTGTTAATTTTAGTTAATGCATTAAATATAGTTAACAACTGGAACCTTATTGTAAAGTGTTACCTTTTAATTCAATTGGAATTAAACTGCAATTAAGTGTCTGAAAACATTACATTCAAGTATTTTAAATATATTATTTATATAATATATAATAAATATATTATTTCCATAATAATTGCTCTTTTTGAAAGTATACTAAAGTGTATACTAAAGGGTATGTCCAGATGTATTGAAGGAGTCTGGTTTGCAGTGGAAGACTGATGTGGTAAAGTCTCAGCAAAATATGCCAGATTGTAGTAATCTGAAGCACACTACAAAAGCTAGTACTCAGAACCGCCATGCAAGATGGGGAACCGCACTGTGTAAGATGAATTCAGCCTTAATTTCCTGGATGTCTTTGCGCTGTTATGCCTTATTTGCATAATTGCTTTAGTGAACTGGCTGCTAAAACATCAAGTGTGTGCAAATGACCTACTCTATCAGCAGGCACCATTCATAGTAAACTCCCTCTACTATGAATTATGTTAATGGCTTGATGCCAACAGTGGTTCTCCAAGTTCACACATGATAACAGAGCAAGCATCATTAAAATCACTCCCAGCAAACAGTGCATACACTGAATGATCACTTGAGGTCCCTCACTTTCTGCTTTCATCTTTTTCATTCTCTCTCTCTCTACTTCATTCTTGTTTTCTGGCATTATGTTCTTCTGTGATCGATATTTAAAATGTGTTGATGACGCTGTAAAGACGCCACAACTCAGATTTATGCTTCCCCAGCCACACACACACATCTCTTCTTGATTCAAAACCTCTCGATGCAGGAACAGAGTGTGTAGGAATCAAAAGATCAATAGACAGATACACACGTACTACGTAATAAACACCCACATGATATTTATAGCGCACACACACACACACATGCACAGCGCTGTCTTGTTACAGTCGGAGGGGTGCAGAGATATAATACGGTTTTAATGAAGTGCTGAAGTAAGTGTGTTCTTACCCTGCTCCTGTCGTACTCTTTCCTGGAGGCAGCGAAGAGCTGGGCATTTGAGATGGCGATGCCACAGAACGGCAGGTACATCTGCAACACCTGCACAGACACAACAGTGTTTAGAAGTGTAGACTAGGGATGCACCGATAGGATTTTTTGGGGCCGATACCCATGGCTGATGTACAAGCATGTGCCAAGATCCACCTGTAGCACTGCAGCTCCAGGAGGGCAGCCTCACCTGACAGCCGTCAACACATTCCCCAAGTGTAGCAAGCGTAACTTAGGGAGCAACCATCTTGGAAACACGCACACAGTAGACAAACAGTCTCTGCTGCATCTTTGTATGTTGTCATTTTTCAGATTCTAAACGGATAACTGGTAATAATTACCATGGAGATGCACAAAAAAATAAACAAATCTTCTGAATGCGCAAACATATCAACATCATAGGCCTACATATTAAAACGTGAGTTGGATAAGTCACATTACCTTCATATTTTGTCTGAAATCTGACCTGGTCAGAGAGTAAAAGGTGAAATTTCCTGCAAGGTGCACTGACTTTTCCAATAACAGCGGACACAGCTTGACAAATACTGTAGTTTTCACTCAGCCGCGAACTCTCCGTGATTGTATGCTTTATCTAGAGAGAGTTCCTCAAGGGAAATGATTTTACCTTGAACTGTTTGAGTCTTGAGCCGATTTCCGATTGTTTTAATTCAATCCAAGTCAGAGCATCACAGGATGCAAAAAAGGCTTTAAAGAGAACATAATGGAAAACAGGATTTTCCTTGCTCTTTTGAAATAAGAGTCTGATGTAAAATGGTGTCATACTTTAAAGTTTACAATATAAAGCCCCCTCCCTCATCCACCTAGACAATTTATGAAAACTTGCAAAACTAACTTTAAAAAAGGCAACACAATAGATAAGTGTAGAATATGGCAAAGAAGTAGTATAAGACAGTTAATCTTCTCCTTGAATAAACTTATGTACTGAAAACCCAGTACATTCTCATCTTGCTACAGATCTGTGTTTAATTAGCTATTCTTGGTTCTCTTAATTAAAGAGAATAATTCTTATTCTCAATACGGATCAAAGCCTTTTCCTAATAAAGTAGTGCCAGCATTCATGTCACACTAATAACCTCGCTCGCTCGCTCATTCATGTTTAGGGATTATGTAATGGCTGATGACAAAGAGATACACGTTGCTCTTTCGATCATGAAAGCCGCAAAAAAAGACAACAAGCTGTAACTCTGAATAATAGAGATGGCAACCGTTCACAATACAACATGTGATGCTATTGGCACCTATACAATTTTGCTAAATCACCTGACTTTATTGTGCTAGACTGCTGCTTTGTTATTTCACTGAAATTAAAGATAGACTGAACACTTATGTACACTGATGCACACTTTATAATAAAATTAATCTCAACACAATCAGTTAATTATTAAGTTCATTAGTTAACTCATCAATGAGTTAATTAGTCAATTTGAATTATTTTATTTATCAATCAACTCACAGACTTTATGTCTTTCACAGATTATCAGATGGATCACAGTTTGAGAACCATGGACTGCACAAACCAAACAAACACCAATAATCACCATATAACTGATCCATTGAAAACATCCTTTCCCAAAAGAACTATCCAGAAACCATTCACCCATGTGTAATAGGCCTCATTTTGTGATGACGCTGATAAATAAACTGATAAAGAGGATGTTTGTGTGCTGCTATGTATCACATGGCACTGCTGTGACTTCAAGCCCCTCGGGACAGAGTCATTTCAGAGGCACAGATTAGATCCTGATGGAGGACATATCACATGGGGCTGTCAAACCTGTTCGTAGTAGGAAATCTTGGCTTTAGAGGAACAGAATCACTAAACTTAAATTTGTGGCTAATTAGTTCAAATCACAATGTAAACCCTCCCAATAATTTACAAAACAGTTTAGCCTATTTCTAAAGTTATAACAGAATTCTAAAGGAACTAATTGCTGTCCTATCATTTTCCATTTGTTCTTTATCAAAATTACCAAGAGAATTATTACCAGAACTATTAAGGAACAGCAAATGTCGAGTGGAATCAAAAATGGAATCCGTAAATTTCGTACAAAATCCCATTACCAACTCCAAGTCTCAGCTCTCATGTTACTTATCTGATATCAGCATAACCTGATCTGATTAGGTCAAGCTCAAAACTTTACTTTGTGAACTCAGAAACGAAGGGAATGTCAACAAGCAACCTTTAGCACAGCATAATAGCCATCTCACTGTCCCTGTGGAGCCATTTCAACATTTCTGGCAAGGGAATGAGTAAATAAAAAAGAATGAATATTAGAGAGACAAAGGGAACAAGAGACTCATTCACATCTGCAGATGCCATTGTTGCAATCTAAAAAATGTAATTTCACAGTCACACCATGTCCATTGTGGGGTTGATTATGAGAGAGATGATTACTGCAAGTTCATGAGATAAAGCTGAACTCCTGGCCTTAACCAGGACTTGTGACAGTAGATTTGCGACTTGTCATTGAACAATATTGAACTGAAACAAACAAAGCTTGCAGTGGAAGACTGATGTGGTAAAGTCTCAGCAAAATATGCCAGATTGTAGTAATCTGAAGCACACTACAAAAGCTAGTACTCAGAACCGCCATGCAAGATGGGGAACCGCACTGTGTAAGATGAATTCAGCCTTAATTTCCTGGATGTCTTTGCGCTGTTATGCCTTATTTGCATAATTGCTTTAGTGAACTGGCTGCTAAAACATCAAGTGTGTGCAAATGACCTACTCTATCAGCAGGCACCATTCATAGTAAACTCCCTCTACTATGAATTATGTTAATGGCTTGATGCCAACAGTGGTTCTCCAAGTTCACACATGATAACAGAGCAAGCATCATTAAAATCACTCCCAGCAAACAGTGCATACACTGAATGATCACTTGAGGTCCCTCACTTTCTGCTTTCATCTTTTTCATTCTCTCTCTCTCTACTTCATTCTTGTTTTCTGGCATTATGTTCTTCTGTGATCGATATTTAAAATGTGTTGATGACGCTGTAAAGACGCCACAACTCAGATTTATGCTTCCCCAGCCACACACACACATCTCTTCTTGATTCAAAACCTCTCGATGCAGGAACAGAGTGTGTAGGAATCAAAAGATCAATAGACAGATACACACGTACTACGTAATAAACACCCACATGGCGCACACACCGCACACACACACACACATGCACAGCGCTGTCTTGTTACAGTCGGAGGGGTGCAGAGATATTTAATGAAGTTAATGAAGTGCTGAAGTAAGTGTGTTCTTACCCTGCTCCTGTCGTACTCTTTCCTGGAGGCAGCGAAGAGCTGGGCATTTGAGATGGCGATGCCACAGAACGGCAGGTACATCTGCAACACCTGCACAGACACAACAGTGTTTAGAAGTGTAGACTAGGGATGCACCGATAGGATTTTTTGGGGCCGATACCGATATCGATTTTAACAATCACTTATTGGCCGATTCCGATACCGATATTTGTCACTTCCTCTCTTATTTGAAATTTTGGCATCAAAATAGATAGTATTTTGATCATGTTTTAAATCAGCAAAGTTCAAAAACACCTGCATTAAATTATTCTAGCAGTTTTATTGCTGCATCATCAAATAATTTCTAATGAACATGGATTGGATCCATTTAACATTCAGCAGGCCTACATAAATACAACAGAACAAAGATACATATTAAATAAACAGCGCTTTTTAGGAAGGTTTAACAGTTTTCAGGTACAGAAATAAAGTAAACAAATGTAAAATAGCACTTCACTGTATAAATAAATACATATTAATCATTCTTTATTGTAACAGACTTTATTATGATTAATCTTCTAATTTGTTTTTGTATATATTTTAATATTTTTTGTAAGTTTAAAGGGGTCATATGTTGCTGCTTAAAAGAACATTATTTGGTGTATTTGGTGTAATGAAATGTGTTTATGCGGTTTAAAGTAAAAAAAACAA